ATGATTGGTAGAGCATAAGAATAAAAAAGTGAGAAGTAATCACAAAACTAGATCACACAATCTTGTAAATTAGTCCCATACAACCAAGGACCATTACAAAGATTAGGAAACAAACCTTCAAAACATTGTGTGGAATTACTCTCTTAATTTAAACCAGATGTATATAAAAAGGTGAACAAAACCCTTCTAGGAACTACTGAATGTATTACTGATTTACATCTAGGCTGAGTATTTCCGTAGCACTCTAATATACTTCTATTCTGTCATGCGGATTGTCATACTATTACAAATAACGGATTTCTACATAATATATTAGGTTGAATCATATGCAACTACTATTTTTGTAGTTCAAAAATGGTTGGATATTGGCACCAATTTTCTAGTTCAAAAAAGGTTGGACACTGGCAATTTCATATTGCTTGAACTTTATTATTTGGCTATCCCCCCCGCCCCATGTTTCTCATGAGTTTAGGGATACTTTATATGAGAATTAAAAAGTTATTTATGTTTGCTTAAGTTTAAAAATAATTAAGAGTTTCAAGTTTTCAGTTTGAATTAAATTTCTTGAACCAGAACTTTTGCCTCATCTTTTTATAAGTTCCATAAACTACTTCATATTTCAGGTGGCATCATATGAAAACAAATTCTTGGAAAACAAATTCTTGGAAAATTAAACCCAATCTGGTTTCTGATAAAAATCCAAATAATAGAATATACAGCAGAAAGAACCCTAATTTATCTTTTATTCTTCTTCTAGCATTTAATCCACATCCTTTCTTCCTTTTATACCCTTCAACCTGAGTGGCTTGCTTGGATAATTCAGAAGGAAAGGGGCACCTCGGATTTGACATTTGACTTCCTCAGAATTTCCAAACATTTGAAATAGGGCTTGAAGAGTATGTTTCATCTCATCTAATCTCCAGAGCCCTTGTATTTTGAAAATGTATCTCATAAAGTTACACTACCATGTAGAAAATATCAGCATGACTTCAGTTCTCCCCTTTTAGAAGCACAGAATGTACATGAAGCAACAAACTTTCTATATGTACAAAGAAGAAAGCCTTCCTTCTACATTCTCCAACATTCCATTTCTTTCTTGATTTGTGTCTAACCAGCAAAGCTGTAGAAATATTAAGCTTTGTAAGAGCTTGCACACACAAAACCCATGCCAATTTGTTAAATCATATCCAACTGGAGAACAATGGTGCAAATTCTCCTCCCGTAAAGGGAATTCCATAACAGACTAAAATGATGAATGTCATATGTTTACAAATGACACTTCTAGTACCTCACTACTTGATATCAATATAGTTTGGAAAGAAGGGATATTATTTCATGTATAGTAAGGGGTATAGACCAAATAAGCTCTTTTCCAAATTATAGTAACTACAAAATGTCAATGAGCATTTATAATACTGCAGACCTTTTAGGATTTTAGCTCTAAATAAACTGATCTGACTCATCTGGACAGAGGTTTTGGCAGAAGTGGGGTTGTCTAATATGTATGACACTGATTAAAAACATTCTAAATCATGATACATTTATCCTTATATCACTGCTAAATGATTCATCTGTGTAGGATATATTCTTATTGCCAGAGATGTCACGTATCATCTTGGCTAGAAACACACAATCACATCCCATTATGGTGAGCCCTCAGAGTTTATCCACATTCATTCCTCTTTTGGAATTTGGTCAGGTTAATACTGCTTGAAACACATGGTCTTAAAAGTTTTCCATTCTAAATCTATTGTCATTTTGGCATTTGGCTGGATCTGGCCTTATGTGACCAGCATCACACTGAGAATGTTTAGTTTGTTGAATTTTAAATCTATAATGTTTATCACACTATAGCCCTATTGACAGCTAAGGAAGTGTCTGTATTCGAGACTTTTTCTCAGATACTTTTTCTTCCAAATGAAGCTGTATGTATTTGCATTTATTTGATACTATATTTATACAACATACTAAATTAAGAAGTTTTGCTTAAATGTGCTTAGATTAAGCACAGCTATTTTTGTTTTGTTTTGGGCAGGTAAATTTAAGCATTGGACAATTAACTAACTTGTAGTACAAAACCCTTAGTACTGTATTTCTTTTGGTCACTGAAATACTTATTGGCATCTTAAGACTGGTCAGCAACAAAAGCAGAATTAAACATTGGCCTTGAATATAATATTTACAAACCTGCTCTTTTTTATATTTGGTTTTACAATCATAATCTAAGAGTGAAGAATAAGAATTTATATAAGAAATCCGTAAGAGCAACCATCCTAAATCATGGCACTGGTAGCTTTACAAGCATATGTAAGCACCCATTACATTGTGCAAAGCATTTATTGCAAATAGGCCTTAGTTACTAAAATGTATAGCTTCCTTTCATGTTGTGACTAAGTAATTTGAGAACTCTTTGGGCTGAAAATGTACAGAAAGGTTGCACACTGACTATCAGCAGGGAAAACTGCTATCAAATCAATGCATGGAACATTCCTCACAAATTGCAAACAAGGGAGGATTGGACACCTGCCGTGCTTGTTCTTTTTCACTGCAAATGTCTGATTTTTCTGAATTGAACTCTGACGTAAAGTTCAGTGATATTCAGTCTTTGTGGAGTTGTGGAATTACTATTTCTGGACTTTTTTTTTTTAAAGACACTCCCCTGCTAACAATGTATTTCCACCCCACCATCTCTTAGATCCTACCCTGCACTAATACTACCAGATAGAGCAACTGATGTTATGGCAACTGTGGTTTTGTTTTGACCAGTGTTCTGCCCAGGAATTCCTGCAGCCCCCAGGAGTTAATACACTAGAAACACACCATCACTATCACTTTTAAATAGTCTTCTGAGTTCATAGCAAGAACAGGAAAAAAACCATACTTTCCTACTGATGTTTCACATGTTGCATATTCTTTTTGCACTGATTTTTACTGACAGTATTTAAAACTTCTTTTAAAAAGTATAAATATAAGTTCTTTGTAATTTATTTTATTTGATAATGTTACTTTTAAATTTTGAATATTTAATTTCATTTTACTTAGTGAACTTGAATTTTGAACATTGCTATTTGTTTACTTAAAATTTTTAAGAAACTCTCAAAATTGCCATTTTATTTTACTTCGTACAATTAATTTTTAAGAAGCTTTAAATATAGTGACATGCTTTGAGCTTGCTGATAATAACCATGGAATGTAATAAGGTCAGCACAATAGTCCTTTCTCTAGCTCTGACATCTTTTTCCCTACACCTTAAAACCGTACTATCTCCCTTCAGTTCCATACGCTTTTCTTATTCTTGTTTATCTTCCTCCTGCAAAAACAACAAAGGGCACTATTTTTAAAATGAAAAGCTAAAGAAAAAACCCAAACCACTCTCTATGTGACTAATCATGAGCAAAACATCTTCCTAATTTAAACCTTGACTCAAGTCTCCACAGAAGATACTAATGGTCCTACTCACTCTTCAAGGAACTACCCTATATTCCAGAATTGACCCACATGGTCTTGGGGCTATTTTAAAGAAACAAATTATGGTACCTTCTTAACAGACTGAACTTAAGAAGAAGTACAGCAGCCCCCTTCTCTGTTGTTTTCAGCATGTCAAGTGGATGGATCTAGCAGTCTTCCCACAGTGCCCCACTTTTCATAAAAGCTACTAGTACATGTTTATGACTAGGTCTCAATTTTTGCAGTCTGTAGAGCATCAAGGGCAGAATGTAATTTGTGGTCTTGAAACCTCACCAGCCCTGCTTATTTAACCATAATGCAGCTGAAATTTCTGGAGGAAATTCTTTTCTTTCCCACTACTCCAAAACAGGACGTCAGGCATAGTGATGAACTCAACCGTGGTGATTTCCTCATTAACAAAAATTGCCACTTCATCCATAATGTTAATATCTCATTCCAAATGACATTTTAATTTTGCTAAAGGAATTGATGAGAAGTTGCCATACCAAAGGGGGAAAGTTAATTGCTTGAATCCTTGGCCCATAGGAACTTTGCCATCAGGCTTGCTGGATATGTCACCTTCATTGCCAGACGGCACAGCAACTAATGGTATGACCACTGTGGCTTTGTTTTGACCATTATCTCTGTCAGGAAATTTCTGTACTTCCAAGAGCCAATATGCTGGGAACATAGCATCAGTTTAAAACATTCTCCTGAGCTCATAGCAAGAACAGAGAAAAAAAGCATCCTACAGATGTGTCACATTTTGCTTTCAAAGTTCTTACATATTTATCATGTCTCTTTGTGTGATGTTCACATCCACCCTATCTATACGATGGGAAAACTGAGAGTAGCAGACACTATCAGTGCCTAACTCATATGAGTGCCCATATACTATTCTTGAGCTCACTGAATGCTCCTTACCACAGAGTCAGCTGGGGGCTTTCTCTGGGTGCAGAAGTGTGCTCAGTCTTCCTTGGAAGTACTCAGGACTTAACTACCCTGGGGAGCAGCCATCAAAATATCACATACAGGGTTCCTGGGTAAATAGCACAGCTTCGTCATCCCTCTGGGAGGACCCCTTTGAGATGTGTTCTCCCAAATGTCTCCATTGGGACTGAGCCACAGGTACCCAGAAGTTACCTGATCATTAACATACTCAGAACTGTCTGGCTTCCTTTCTCACTTCCTCACTCCCATATTGGTGCTTCTTGGGTTCATTTCCCAGATAAACTACTTGAATGTGAATCCTTGTCTCAGCCTCTGCTAAGACACTGGGATTAATGAAGAGGAGATTAATACACGCTAAATACCCATAGCTACTTCATGGAGAACTAGGACTAGAATGGAGGTCTTTGGATTTCTGGCATATTTACCAGATTAGGTTGCTTCTTGTCAATGACCAGCACTTTGTAGAACTGGTCCCAGGACATTTGGGCAAAATGAAGACACTACAAATGAAACAAAGTTGTTAGATTGGTATCCCTGGCCTTTTAGGAACCCAGTTATCACCACTAATAGAAGAAAAGAGACAAATGAAAGACAGTAATTACCTAGCATGATGAATGGGACTCCTAGGAAAGTAGAATTGTACTTCCCACCAGTAAGATTGATGATTCCGGCCGCGGTGAGAGTGGCTAAGCTTATGGTTACCAACCCAAGCAGGCCTAGCCAAGGTTTGCTGCGGACGCAGTCCTGCATGGAGCAGCAGAGGATGGCCATGGTGACCACCAGGATCAGGCTGGTGACCAGGTAGCGTTCTGACACACGGCTGGTCTTCTGAAAATCTTCCCTCAGTGATGAGGATGTGTAAGGGTATATTTTGACTTTGCTGTTGGATTCCTGGAACAGTCTGACAGCGTCGCAGAAGCTGGACTCCCACCTCTCAGCCACCATGTCATTGAGACTGTTGATTGACTGTAGGTAGTAGGTGAGCTGAATGGCCTCTGCAGATTTCACCCGATCCTTGCTGTGCACAGTGACACCTCCAAGCTGGTGCCCATTGTATACAGCTCTCCCGTCCTTTAAGTGAGTGATTGGGTATGTGATGGCAAAATTAGTCCGGTTGGTGGCCCGAGCATTCTTTAGCTCTTGCAGGACGTGTATTATGTCATCCACAATGCAAGTCTTATCATTATTCAGGATACATATGTGGGCAAACGTGTAATTAAAACCAGGCCTTGGAACCTGGATCTTGGTGACAGCAGCATGTAACTATGGGGAAAAAGTGACAGTCAGTGTTTGTTACCAAAAATAATGACATTAGCTCTATAGGTTTCTCTCTCTCTCTCTCTCTCTCTCTCTCTCTCTCTCTCTCTCTCTCTCATTCTACCTCTAACTCAAAGAATTCAAATAAAAGGCTATAACCTTACATCAGAAATAGGTAGTAAGGATGCAAAATAAACATTTGACCAGTGGTTTAACATTGTGGCCTTGAACCAGAAGCATCAGTACAATCCAAGAGCTTGTCAGAAATGAGAATTCCCAGATCCTACCCCAGACGTGGGAAATCTGCTTCTTAGAATCTCAGAGGTAAATCCTAGGAATCAGGCTGTTCACAAATCCTCCAGGGGATTTTGATACAGCTAAAGTTTAAGAAGTACTTCATTAAAGCATCAGAATTATTTTTACATATTCTTTATTTGTGACCCAATTGTTCTATAATATTTGAAAGTCTTATCTAGGTCCCATGTTCTGTCTTCCTCTTGAAAATGTGCTGCAAAAAAATGAAGTGAGGTACAATTCTGAATGCAGAGATCCAACCAGTCCCTTGCTGCCAATCTGCAGGGCAGCTGCTAGACAATCTCCTCAGGCCATCACTCTCTACCATAAAGTCAAAAGGCTAACCATGAGAGCCTTTGTATTATCTAGCATTCCTTGTCTGCATATATGGCAAGGGATCTTATCTGTAAGAGCCTGGCTAGGATACATGGGAATCATGCTAAAGGAGCAGAGGGAGATTTATTCTACGCTCCCTGCCCCATATCTAATTTGCTAGTGGCCAGATACTGTGCACATGAGAATAACAGCACTAACTCAACAGTCCCTACTACATGCCAAGTACAGTTCTGCATCCTTTATGCAGATTAGCTCACTCAATCCTTATAACAAAGTAGGTATGAATACCAGTCTCATCTTACAAATGAGGAAACTGAGACATCAAGAAGCCAAGTCACTTGCCCAAGGTCACACATAGTAAGAGGCAGAGCGGGGCTATGCCAGATAGTCTGGCTCCAAAACTGTGGTCTTAGCCCTTCACCATACACCTCGAGGCTGGCAATGCCAACATATGAATGAGGGTTCTTGCCAGCAACTAATTCTTGAGTTTGTGCTTTTACTGCCCTACTGCTACAAGTTCAGATAAGTAGGAGTATGTATCATCTACTAAAATGAGAAAACAAAGCAGTGGTAGGAGGGGTAAAGGGCTTCAGTGAACTACTACCACATGACAAGGCTTTATACCTTCAATCCTTTCAACAATTCATTTTACAGATGAGAAAACTGAGGCTTGTGGAGATCATGAAGATGCGGGGCAGTAGGGCTCAGGCAGTCTTAAAATGGCATCATGCGACTATTTCAGCTGCACTGGTCCCTAATTCATCTGTTTCAACTTGCCAGGCAGTTATTATCATGGTGGCTTTGCCTTCTCTGTGTAAAATGTAGTGTGTCTGCAAAATGAGGCCAGTGGCAGACGTTCAGCTAAGTGATAAGTAAAGAAGTACATCTAGCACTGTGCCTAGCACTGAGTGGGCTCTCCCATCAGTGTTAGTGTTTCTATGACTGAAAATATTTTCTCTCAAATCTGTTCTGGGCTGTACATGTGCCTGGGTGAGAGGGATATTATGCTTTTTTGAAAATGTCTGAGGGGTACCAGCTGTCAAAGTCCTTTAGTTATCATGGAGAATGAGTTATTAAGCCTAATTCTCAGTGTTCCCTTCCCCCATGCCTCTTCATGAGTGCCAACTCTTAAGTTCAGAAAACACTTTATTGCATTATGTTTGGCTGAAATATTTTGATCTCTCTCTCTCTCTCTCTCTCTCTCTCTCTCTCTCTCTCTCTCTCTCACACACACACACACACACACACACACACACAGTGTCCTAGGGATACCTAGGAGGCTCTTTTCACAATTCTAACGATATACTAAATTTGCTTAGGGATTAATGGTCAGCAAAATATCTTTCAGTGGCTTTAAACTATGGGAGTGTGTTTTTATCCATTCTCCTTTAAGCACAGCTCAGTAAATGTTGATTAAAAGAATTCCTAACTACAAAAATTTTCAAAATGTAAACAGTTATTTAGGAGGAGGAATGAATGAAGAGGAATTTAAAGACAAGAGGGTTTTGATAAGCATTAAAAGAAAGATTTGGGGAAAAGATTCAGAATAGACTAGAAAAGGAGTGGTATTGAAAGCATGCATATGTGTAATATTTAGTGGATTGTTTGATCCCACCAGCAGTGCAATAAATCTCCCTTAGAGTGATTACTAAATATGTCAAGAGAAAAAGATTGCCAAATAAGATGGTGTTAAGCCACAGGGCTGAACCCAGTTATAGCAAGGGGATATTTTCCATCCATTCTCTAAGGTGACTATGCCCTGCTGGGTGGGGATTTGTAAACTAATAGTGATCTGCTGGCACTGCAAATCTACTGCTACGACCCCTGGGAGCATGCACTGAAGAAAGCAGATGCTATGTTAACCCCCGTACTATCAAAAAATAGAAGGAAGTCTTGGAAAATGAGAACCTTACTGAATTTTGAGAGGGACAGTTTCTTAACTCTCAGCACCAGAGCTGCCGTGAGATGCAGCTGCCTTGAATTTCTGATGGAGTGGTGGGTGGAACATGTGTCACTCTTACTTCTGAGTGGCAAGGATGTGGAATGACATAGCAAGAGAGGGGGTGTTGACTCTGGCCACCCACCAGGCAGGGGGAGTTTGTGGGATTCAACTATAGCACAAGAGGTGAGAGGGTAAGAGGTGAGAGAGGTGAGAGGGTAGTGCAGCATGGGAAGTGAGTTGAAATTCTTTTCTGTTACTTCTGAAATATCTCAGTTGTGATCTTTGGTTCTCATGATCACCTGTTAAGTATACACACATTCACTTTTGTACATCCACATAGCCATGAACAAGTACATTGCACATGCTTCCTGGACATCTGTCTGTACATAGTTTTAGAATGCCCTGATTTATTTTCCCAAAGAAGTCCCAATCAGAGCAGCAGAAATGTTCAGTAGTAGATATTCTAAACTATGGTATCAGATATGTTCACAGGGAAAAAAGGAAGCCAAAGATTGAAGCTATGCTTCAGCTAATATACAAAATATACAAACACAATCTATACAAGTTTATTATTAAATGAGGTAAGAGACTTTCAGAAAAGGGAAAATGACACAGAATAATAGTCTTGACCTTTAACATAGTTTGAATCTGTCATGTGAATCAACATATAAAGCATATTTGTGTAACTATGTGTGCATTCTTGATTACACACTCAACACACATTCAAGAAGAACTCATGAAATCTATAGTGTTGTCAATAGTATAATTTCCCTGAATTTAGCATGCATGCACTCACACATAGAAAAATCATATGAGATACAATGTCCAAAATAATGGAACACTCTAACAGTAAACCACCAAGCACTTTGTACTAGTAAAGCCTGATCTAATGTTAATTATGATCATTATATTTTTGATCATTACAGTATTTGCTGCCAAAGAGGCCAGATCTGAATGGTAAATTGAGATTCATTCTGAGGGTCTGAAGAGACAGTTAAATTGTTAGCTTCTTTATTCTCATCACTCTTCAAGTTAAGAATGATAACAGTAATAGCTACTAGTCTGTTACATACATCCTATACCATTTAAAAAGCTTATTCAGTATAAAGATCCTAAGAAAGTGGTTAAATTATTATTCCCATTTTACAATGGAAGTGACTTAAGTCTTTAAAAATTCCAATAACTCACCTAAAATGACCCAGTAAGTAAGGGGCAAATGCATAATTCTAAATCTGGCCTTACTCCACAGCAGAATACTTAGGCCTAGACCAACACAAATTCAGTAATGAGGATGAAGGGAAAACAGGGAAGAATGAAGAATTGTCAGCCCACCTAGTTCAAATGGCCGGTAGTGAAAATGATGAGCTGCAGGACAGCCGAACTTAGAGGTCTGGGATTTGTTAAGAAATACCAGAAATAATCCCAAGAGTCAAGACCTCATCCTCAGACAACCACACTGCATGGCAATATCAACCGGTAATAAAGGGGATGGGTTTTGAGTTTGCTGACTTTTCTTATTCTCCTGCCCATCTTTGGTGTTGCCAAATGGAACTTTCAAAAACAGGCTTATTAAGAAAAAGGTCATGGAACACAATAGAATCCAGCAATAGGAAGTTTTGGCTTCCTTTATGACTTTTGCTGCTTACTTTTGGTGTGTTGGAGACCCTAGGAATGGTACTCTACTCCTTCACATCTGAGACTTTAGGTCTCAGATTTATCAGTTAAGAAAAAAGGGAAGGGATTGGTCTAGCTAATCCTTAAAAACAGTTATTCTAGTTTGAACACTACATAATTCTAAGATGAGTAACATCCACAAACTCTACAGTTTCAGGTGAGAGAAAGTTAAATTCTTAAATATCAACTTGAGACTTATTACAGGTGATTGTGGTTTGCTTTCCTGACACATTTAAATTCTTTTTAGGTCAATGAAAGTTCTGATAGTAGATGATACCCAGAAAGAAAACGGGTAAAGGAAATAGGTTTACTTAAAAAAAAAAAAGATCCCCTTCTCAGAGTGATTTCCTATTCTGGGGAGGCGCTGGCTCTTCTAATCCCCTTCTGGCAGAGCCTGGGACGAAGCCAACATGGGCTGCTGGTCACGACAGGCCAGAGTCTCATTTCCTCTCTCCCTCTCCTTGGCATGCACACCTCTTCCTCAGAAGACAGCAGGGGCACCTTGCAGAGGACAGTACAGAAGGGATCTGGGAGGAAGTGTCTGCTTCTGAGTGGTGATTAACATAGGAAAAAATACCTGTAGGGTTAGCGGATCTTACATGATATAGTTTCACTCTCTTTTATTTTTTTCTTATTAAAAAGGGAAGCAGGAAAAAAAAAAGAAGGGCACTGTCCTATGTAGGGCAATTAATATGTCCTGGAAGCAGCTTCAAGCAGCCTCCCAGCAGTCTTAACTGTAAGCAAAGAGTTGGAGGAGGTG